GGCGTGGCAGGGCCTCCTGAAATTTCAGCAAGGAGGCACCACCCGCGACAAATGACCAGGCGGCTGCCATCGTTCCAGCTTGATGGCGCTAGCACCGACGTTCCTCATTGTTCTCGGTTTCTCTAGTCCTCACACTCGCACCGTGACACTTCCACGGTCATGCAGGCTTTCGCACCACGTAGAATCCTCGCTTATGTCGCACCACGTAGGCTCACCGGTTTTCGCAAGTACAGAGCCTCGACGCCAAGTGGTCAGATATATTATTTTACCGCCGTGAAAAAATGACCGCCATCACCTGCGATTGTGTACTCCTTATTTGCGTGCACGATCAGTTACAAGAGTCGAGAAACTTGCGAACAGAAATAACGTCCATTTCTCTCTTCAACTTGGCCTCGCACTCATCTGACTCTCACCCCCTCTCCCACCCTTCTCTTCTGAGCGTCACACTGCCATGTCAAGTCCGGCGCGGCAGCCCCCATCAGCCCGCCCGCTGGTTATCTCGGCGACGGCCGGCACGCGCTCTCTCCGCCCATCCGGCCGTGCTGCTCTCGGAAATGCCCGAATTCGGGTCAGCCGGACCGACGCCGGGCCCGGCGGCCGCGGTGGGACCGTCACCTTGCACGGCGCAGCAGCGTCCCGCGGGCGGACGTCAGCCGACGACGTTTGGCCGCAATCTTCTCTCGTCCTGTTCGAGGCAACCAAAGGTCCGACGCCTGTCCTGGCGAGCTTTTTCAGGAAGTAGCTTCTGAGTGTTGCATCTCGCTCGGTACGCAGTTGGTCCAACGAATTTTGCGTGTCAAGGATAACGTTTCACTTCCCGGATCTCACAAGCCTTAATTACAATTAACAAGCTTGAATTCCAGTTCCATTTTAGCACCCTCGGAGGTCATACAGTCTCATCTCCTTTCATGAAGGTCACGCCAGCATCAGCCCAGCGAAAATTGGGGCGATGCTAAGGGGAAGTGATCTGACGTTGCCTTCGTGCAAATGGGCGGCTACTCCAGCTTCAGGAAGCCAAAACGATGTACCCCAATCTTCAGCGCTTTGAGTCATCGGCTCGAGTGAATGCGCCAATACCAGACCAGCTTCGCGCGCCAGTGTGCTCGAAACGTCACATAAGTCTGACATCCCGTTGAGTGTCTTCTCCGACTTTCTCACCTTGACTGCTTTAAATTCCGCCCGTGGAATTGAACCGTAAATTTCGCCTCCTCCGCCCAAAGACGGGCGACATAAACCTGTCCGAGCTTCGAAACGCCCGTCAGTGTGATCTGCATTTAGACATTTGATTTAGCATGCCGACTGGAACCGTCCGATTCCGCCTAAAACTATTGCTGGATATGCCTCTCAACGTTCCTCATCAGTGCCAAAGGTTGCGGCTGTGTAGCGTGAATCAGGAGTCATAAAACAGCAGTGTATTTTTTGCTTCTCTAAACCACGGTCACCGAGATAAAACTGGACGGTATTTTCGTAAGGTTACGCCGCATGCCTATGTTTGGCGGTCCGCAGCTTGCGGCCAAATGTTCCGACTCCAAAACTTGCATAAGCGTGAGCTAGCCATGATGCAAAAAACTTTTCAGCCCCGCAGTCCCGCATTTTTTACATTTTGAATGATGTTCTCGGAATCTTGATAATGCGTTCGTAGTTTTGCTGTTTTTATGATGTGTCACAGACCCGTCCGGCAGATAATGTATTATGTAGGGCGAGCGTTTCCTCAAGCCCAGGTGTTCTTCAGACCGGATCAGCGGCTTCGGTTGCCATAGGAAGACGTGCATCATAGCATTGTTGTAATCCTTGTCATCAAAGATACAGCGGTAGCTCCAACGACACAGCACGCGCTCTTCCCTCCTCCTCCCACCAGTGCACAACAAAAGGGATACGGTACACTGTGACGCACCCCAAAAATCCTTATCGCGACATACTGGGCCACAAATGAATGGTTGCCTGTGAAATCAACAGGCGTTACCGCCTATCAAACCGCCGGAGGCTCTTCAGCCGCGCGTAATGCGGGGACGGCACGTGGACACGATAGTGATCCTTGCTCAGCTCCGTTATTTTCCAGCCTGATGACATCAGGGAGTCTCAGATCTCTGCGGTGTTGTCCAGTGAGAATCCACCATTCCTGACCAAATGCCTGTATCAAATCGCGCCGTTGCCGTTGATACGATGAATACGGGGATGCAGTGGAGCTGGCAGAATTTGCGACGGTGGTCTAGCATGATTTACAACGAGGGGGCTAATTTTTGCGGATTACGCTAAAAGGCACAACACTTCGCGCATCAAAGAGCTGTAGACATTAGTTTGCCTTTGCGTACCGTACACATTCACTCTGCTATCCGGTTGTCTTGTTATTGAGCTACCGCTGCTGGACACTACGCGTCGGTGCCTATGGAGGTGTCTGTTAGATTTAAGACCAAAATAGTTCCTCTGATCACCAGGTGCCAGAACTACAATCGGAAGAGTCGCGGCGAAAAGCTGCGCTCAAACCAGAGCCTTTGGCTGCGCCAATGCAAGGAAGATGGCGGCGATATCTAGATTTGCTACAAAACATAGGGTAGCACTGCTTATAGCACTGATTCAGCACTGATTGGCCAATAACTGATTGTTCGCAAGCAGCGACTTCTTAGCTAAATATTTCAGAATTCAGAATTTTGTTCAAGAATTTTCAAGCTCAGATTTCTCAAGCTCAGAATTACCCATTCACTTAAATAATGTTTACCTTTTAGAGTTACACTATAGCTCCTTGTTATATTTTCCTATGCGCATGTAATGCACAGAGCTTAACTGGGCTTGAGTAACAAAGCCTTTTGATACGCCAGATGGTAAGGTATATCGTGGAAAAAAGGAGACGATGCTACGAGGCGAAAATGTAAAAAATGGAAAGCCTTTAAATGAGTGCGCCATGGTGAGTTCAAAATCACGAAAGTTACATCAACTCTCGATTATCTGATTTCATGTCATGTACCATTAAACAGGGCCTGCGGCATGACCTCGAAAACGCCGAAGGCAATGCATCCAACTTGGTGGCCGTTGCCGGGAGAGGTCTGGGAATGACACGAATTTCAACAGCCCGATTTTACCTTACAACTCCATTCTGAGATTATTCCACATTACGAGGGTGTGCTGCGCTCGTCGGTCTGTGGTGGAATGCCCTGTCTGGTCACGGTCTCTGCTTGGGTGTCCGGATGTTACATGATTCGAATTGTATGGGAACAAAGCGTTGTCTGTTATTAGCTCCAAAATCGGATGCCGAGATTCAGCTATATACAAATATTGTTCCAAACAGCACGGAAATAGAAAAGCTCCTAGTCCAAGGGGGGGGGGGGGGCTGTAGCGGGTGCATCCAATCACTGGAATATATCGCCACACTGATATGACGTTGGCGCGCCGGCTGGTGTCACCATAGCACCGCAGTATATACCCCCATCAGATAACTGCATTTTCAGAGTGCTGTTCTGGTCATGGGTGGAGAGCATGGCATGCAGGTATGGGTGCGGCCATCTATAGCCTGATCTCAACGTCTTGCCATTCAAGACGCTCGTTTCTGCAGGTTCGTCACTCGAACTTATCGGAACACTTTCCGGCCCCGATTCTGATATGTCCATCGCTACACGAAAACGAGCTAAAACTGTCCATATTCGCGGTGTTCTGCGGCATAACCTGAGGGTTCCGCATTTCACTGCACTGCTATTCAAACCTCGTAAGTTTTTGATACCCCTGCAGTGGTTGGAAGATGGCGAGATCCGTGACTAACGTAAAATGTTAAAAGCAGGTTGGTATGCTAGGGCGAATGCATATGGATTTATCTGGCTAGTTTGTCGCCGACAGTGTACATAGTACGCATATCGAAATTCCCCACCAGGTGGCGGGTAAACGGTTGAGTGTCATGCATGCTGTAATGCAGGCTGTAGAGGTACTTCTGGGGACCGGTCTGCAACATGTGTAGTCTCACTTAAACCCGTGTTTCGCCTCTAGCATCAAAACGGTAGTGCCGCGCTTGTTACAACTGGTCTGTATTTACACTCACAAGGACCACGGCATAGTCAGATCACTCCACAGTTCTCTCCTGATGTCATGCGCCTGCCTTAGCCAACACTTGACCTTCCCACACAGCCTGGACATGCCAACTGGACACTAACAACACCCACTTAAAACCTAGCTTATCATCATCTTAGTCCTTCGCACAAACTTCCCGTAAAACACCCACGTAACTCGCTACCACTTTACCCCCCCCCCCCTGCGACCTTTTCTTTCTTTTAACCTCTTAGATGTTTCAGTCTCTTGACCCCAAAGCGAGATTTTTCCGTTCTCGTGAGCAATTAAAGTAGCGTGCGTCAAACTTAAAAGGCGCCAACGGCGCGCCAGGAGCCCTCCCAAGCTTTCGCCACCCGCTGGGCGCGCATCACGCGCGGCGCCCAGCACACGATGAGCAACCGCCGCCGTGGTCCCCGGCTCACCGTCTCACACAAACGGGGCCGGCCAATGCCATGAAAATAACGCCGAGGAGCTGGTTCTGGCAGGACAAGTTCATTATTGACACGTCCTATTCAACACCGAGTCATCGCTGTGCACAACGCTGAATTCGCACGATGATAGTGATCAGGGGCCAACGGAAGCCATCGCCGCGAGAGATCCTCCGCATCACCGCGCGTACACAGCACATCGCGAGTTCGCAACACTTTGAGTGCTGTCAAAGCAAAGGAAATGACACATAGGGGACAAGTTTATTAACTGTATTATTCACGTATTTATAACAAAATAAAAATACAGCAGTTAGGCCTTCAGCGCAGCAAGACGTCGCAGCGGTCTTCCAGGCACTTATCTCACGCCGCGCCACTACGCGAAGCAATCATGGAGGCGGGAAATGCGCGGTCGGAATCACCGGGCGCCTCCCATCTTCTGTATCAGCTCGTCACATATGGCCGTCACCTCTTGGTTCTCGCGCTCGAGCTTGGTGTTGCGGTTCTCCAGGAGCTGGAGCTTGGTGGTCAGACGCAGCAGCTCGTCTCGTGACTCTTCTCCGCCAGCTCCATGTCCTCGCGCAACCTGCGACCACGGGCGCGGACCCTGTCAGTCTCCCGGACACGCACCGCCCCCCCCCCCCCCTCACACACACACACACACGCTCACCACCGGACCAACCGCGGCGGGCGGTCCGGCACCGAGCAGGCCAGCCGCCAGGCGCCGCCACTGTGCGGGCGGCGCGCCGGGCCCCTCAATGGTAGGCAGCGCTGCGGCGGTGGCGCGCAACGAGCCCAAGGCCCACCCATTACCACGGGCCGCGCGTGCCAACTCATTGATGTCACTGCAGGGACCAACGGCTCCAGCGCGCACCATGCCTGGCGGGGGGCGTGCCACACACGCCACGCCAGCGTGAAGCTTTCCCACCCGAGACAAATACCGGTGCGGTAAATCAAGTCGACGAGCGAAGAAAAACACGAATGGTGAGGCAAAAATCCTTCGTTGGTGGTGCACCAGCGAGCAGAGACAGAACAATGAACATACACATCGAGAATCGACCGGGCGGGGAGGGCGCGGGCAGAGCGGCCGGGCGGCGGGGAGGCGCGGAGCAGCTGGCGATGGAGAGGAGGGCAGGGCGACCAGGCGGCGAGGAGGCATGGAGCGGCTGGGGGGCACGCGGGCTCACCTCTGCAGCGTGTCCTCGGCGTACTTCTGCAGCATGTCGTGGCGCTGCCTCTCTCGCGACACCTCGTCCAGCGCCGACTGCCACGACTTCGAGATGGTCTCGCTCCGCTGCCTGTTCTCCTGCATCAGACTCTTGCTCTTCTCGTACTTGCTGCGGACGGCGAGGGGAACGAGGTCACACGGTGCCCCCGTGCAGGCGGTGGACGGAACGCTGTATCGCCCGGACGGCGGTGGCCGGCGCCACAGCGTTCCGTGACGCCAGACCACGCGGGCCTCGTCTGCTCATCGCGTGTACAATGGTGAGAAACGGAATCACAACCCTAAACAGCATCTGCTTCTTAAGTCAGCGGGGAGCCGCCGTGGAACACTCCGCGAGGAAGGCCCACGTTTCCAAGCATGGCACGTGCGAGAAGCCCCATAGCGGCTCTCGGCGATATGAACTAAACGGCTGACAACAAGCGGCAATCCGGCCAGCGGCAGCGGTGACAAGGAGCAGAGATGATGATTTGGGCTTTAGGGCACACCGACTACGTTGGTCATACGACACATTGAGCAGAGAGCAGAGGTCGCCAGCGAGCCGGGCGGCGAGGTGTGCCGGCCGGCCACCCACCGGTGCAAGTCGGCGAACATTGACTCGACGTTGGCCACCTCCTGACGGGCCTCGTCACGCTCGGCGCTGACGGCGCGCACGGCCGCGTCCGTCTGCTCCTTCTCGATCGCCAGCCGCGCTAGCGCCTTGGTGTGCAGCTCCACCACCTGGCGGCCAGGCGAGGAACTGTAGCATACTGGCGGCCGCCGCGTTCCCGTCATGCCGTCCGGCCGCCCAACACGGCGGCGCGTACAACAGGGTACTACAGGGTACACGGCGCTTACAACGGGGTACCGGTGATCGGGCACAGCCAGCGCAGGATTGGTGTTTGGTAACGCACGCAGCACTCTACTGGGATGTTTCACCTGGACGGAAAGGAATATGTCTAGGGTAACCCTTTGACGTGCGACTAAGTCAGAATGTGCAGTGTTTCTTTTAAGCGCACCGTTCGATCATTTGGGCCAAACACAGCTCAACATTTATTCCGCTTTACAACCTCAGGCCATCCGTGAATAGCACTGATATGTGAATTAGCCGTTTCCTGCCCACGTGATTAAAACGCAATTTGATTAAAAATGGTTAATTTCCAGCTTCCTGTATCAAACTGACTAATGGCAGCATGCGGCCTTCAACCGACTGCCATCTGGCGGCAGCATACACAACCCCAGTGGGCGGAGCCGGATTGTCCGGTGTTCACAGCTCCATCCACACCTTACCTTCTCGGGAGGAGCACACAATTCTCGAGGACACGGTTGTCAGCCAGAGACATACGTGACCGACTAATGGGATAGCACACCACCAGGAGACGCCGGTGAAGGTCGCAAGCACGCCAGCCGACCCAGAAGCCTGCCGCACAATCGCAGCCCAACGACAAAGAAGCGTGCCGACTGATTACGCGGCTAACAGCGTGAACGGTCCGCCGTCGGATGAGCCAGTTCTTGCACGACCTCAGCCCCTCACAACTGGCGCGGCAAAACCAGCGACACTCAGCCAGCCGACAAAACGGGCCCACCAGCGCCCATCGTGAGCGCAGAGGCAGTGCCAGGTAAAGCACGACTTCACGCGTCACGCTACGGCACACGGACCGTCACGGCTGACACCGTCTGACGGACCGGCACCAGTCGAGGTACGCTGACACCGTCTGACGGACCGGCAAGGCCGACGGTACACTGACACCGTCTGACGGACGGCACCAGTCGAGGTACGCTGCGTCTGACGGACCGGCCCAGGCCAGGCCGACGTGACACCGTGGGACGGACGTGCACCCGT